GTATGTTAGCGCATTGTGTATGCCATGTTATCTCGTGCATCGTGTATGCCATTTCATAGCATTGTGTATGTTAGGTTGTATCTTAGTTGCATTTCATGCATATCATGCATATTGCATCGTGCTTGGGATAGGAGTTAGCCCGAGCACGGGAAACGAGGGACGTTTCGTACTTCGAGTGACGGAACGTGCCTCAATTCCCTGTCACCGACACTCCGGATTATCCATGATGGAGTTTAGGTCTTGTTTTGTTTTCATGTGCATTCATTCTATATTGAGTTGCACAATTCGACTCCTCGGCCATCATGCATTGAGATGCATGATTGGTGGCACGAGGATCGAGGCATGCATACATTTGTGAAAATACATTGCCATGCCCTTTTCCTGCTCTCTATTGTAGCAAGTCAAGAATCAGCAGTCTTCCGGAGCTTGGCGCGCTTTCCAAGAAATCATTGCAAAACAGAGGCTAATTGGGGCATCGCAGTGGATTTTCGTGCAAAGGCAACCCGAGCATGCATCATTCATCATTTGAAGGAGAATCAAGGCAGTCCCTGGCTTGCATGCCAGTTTATTATTTTCTTAGTTAATTCGGTAATTAATTAGGGGTTTTGTAATTATTTGAACTGTAATATTTATTCGGGATTGTATATTATTTATTCAGACCCTCTGCGCGAGGGCAATGTTGTAATAAGTGTGCGTGTGTGTGATGTATGTCTTCCAACCCCACGTCTTTCTCCCTTTTATTTACCCGCTTATGATGGTTAGATTAGGGCATGTTTCAATTAGCATACAGTATGATAGCATGTTTGCATTCATTCATCCGTTTTGCATGCACCGGGCTCGGCGCATCATACTAACTGCATTGTATTTTCAATTCCAAGTTGAATACATGTTAGCTGTAGCATTTCATATGCCATGTTTAGAATAGCCGAGCCTGCTATAGTTGCATTTTTGCATGTGTTGCATTAGGTATTTCCGTATAATTAGGATCATGTATGGATTTCTAATTAGCTTCTGTTTTGGCTTGGAGTACTCGGTAAGTTTTATGCTTTAGCAACCTTGCATGCATGTGAGTGACTGCCATGAATAGCATGCTTACCATGAGGCTAATTGCTTATGTGATATAACTGTCTGAATGCCTGTGGGTGAAGGTGGGGTTATTTGAATTGGAACAATTCATTAATTGTGAGTTTTGAGCCCACTAGATAGTGGCAAAATCATGTTTTCTAAGCCCACCTGAGGGTGGCAAATCCACGTCTTAGCCTACTTGCGAGTAGCACCATCAAACCATTTTCAAACAAACAAACATGAAATGTTTTGGTCCAATTCAGGCGATCCAGTCTATACTTGTATGCTGTGCGCATCACATAGTAAATCTAGGCTAATAACCGGAATAAGAACGCATAATGTTTTCAAAAATAGATATCATGATTAGTAGAGGCCGATCTTTGATCGGGCGAGCGGGGGTGCTCACGAAATGACCTTCTCCAATCGTACCCAAGTTCCCGAGCCGAGGCAACTTTGGTGATGACGGACACGTGGCCTTAGGCAAACGAGTCAGGGTTTCCTAAATTTCCCCAAAATAAAATATTTAGGTGGCGACTCTGTATCTGGAAAAACAGTCCATGTTTGGCACTTCTTTCAAAAAAATCTGTTTTCTCAAAACGATTTGCCGGATTTGGACTCTTTGGTTCAGATTTAGAACCGTGACAATTAGAGAGTCCTGAACTGTAGTGAGCCCAATATCGAATGGAACGGGGGACTCGTTCCTCCCGGGGCGTTCGGGGGACGTCTACATCAGCGTATTCCATATTTTCATCTATAGCTACCCGGTGATAATCAATCACATGAAACGGGTCTCGGAGGTAACCCCTCAACATCGACACATGAAACACGTTATGGATCTGTACGAATCCCGATGGCAAAGCAACTCTATAGGCAACTGGACCAAGTCTTTCCAAAATCTGGAACGGCACGATGTAACGGGGCGACAACTTGCCATTCTTCCCAAACCTGACTTGGCCTTTCATTGGGGACACACGAATAAACACATGGTCACCGACCTGATACTTAAGAGGTCTTCTTCGAACATGTACATAATTCTTTTGTCGGTCTTGAGCTATTTTGAGCCTTTCCCGAATAGTTTTGATTTTCTCATGAGTGTCTTGCACAATTTCAGGCCCAAGTAAAGCTTTATCCCCGACTTCTGTCCAACAAATAGGTGATCTACACCTTCTACCATACAAAGCCTCGTATGGTGCCATACCGATGCTGGAGTAGAAGCTGTTATTGTATGCAAATTCTACAAGTGGCAAATAGTCTTCCCAACTCCCCTGAAAATCTAAAGCACACATTCGAAGCACATCTTCCAAAGTCTATATTGTTCGTTCTGATTGCCAATCCATCCGTGGGTGAAATGCAGTACTGAATCTTAGTTTTGTCCCCATAGCTTCCTGCAAACTCTTCCACAATCTAGATACAAATTTCGGGTCTCTATCGACACAATAGATACCAGAACTCCGTGTAAACGGACAATCTCATCAACATAAATGGTAGCCAGTCTATAAGCATTAAATGTAGTTCTAACTGGCATAAAATGTGCAGATTTAGTCAGTCTATCAACTACAACCCAAATAGAATCCATACCTTGAGAAGTCCGACGTAGGCCAACAACAAAATCCATAGTCACGTGCTCCCACTTCCATTCAGGAATAGGGAGAGGTTGAAGTAGACCGCTTGGTTTCTGATGTTCAGCTTTAACTTGCTGACACTGACGACATTTGGACACATATTCTGCAATCTCTTTCTTCATCTTAGGCCACCAATAGGTCTGTTTCAAATCCCGATACATTTTATTATTGCCCGAATGCATAGCAAATACGGATCTGTGGGCTTCATCTAAAACCCTTTTCTTTAGTTCCAAAATATCTGGGATACACATTCTGTTCCGAAATCTCAACACTTCATTCTCGATACTGAACTCCACTTTCGGACTTGTCTCAAATTCATCAATCACTTTCTTGAGGAATTCATCCTCTTTCTATTTCTACTTGATTTCTTCAATGATTGCCGGCTCGACTGTAATAGCGGCTATCAATCCGCCTTGCCCACACATTACCATTTCAATTTCAGACTTCTCAAAATCTTGCAAGATCTCTCTCTGTTCAGTAAGCAAACAAGCCATACTCCCCGTTGATTTTCTGCTCAAGGCATCAGCAACTGTATTACCTTTCTCGGGGTGGTACTGAATCTCTAAATCATAATCCTTTATCAGTTCCAGCCATCTCCTCTATCGCATATTCAACTCCTTCTATGTCAAGAAATATTTCAGACTTTTGTGATCCGTGTAGACTTCACACTTTGCTCCATACAGATAATGCCGCCAGATTTTCAAAGCAAAAACAACTGTGGCCAATTCTAGGTCGTGCGTTGGACAATTCTTCTCGTGTGGCCTCAACTGTCGGGAAGCGTAAGCAATGACCTTTCCGTTCTGCATTGACACACAACCCAAACCTTTATAAGACGCATCCCTAAAAATTACAAAATTTTCCGTACCTGATGGTAGTGTCAAAATTGGTGTAGTGGTCAATCTTGTTTTCAATTCATGAAAGGCTGATTCTCTTTCATCGTTTCACTCAAAAGGTTGCCCTTTGCGCGTCAGTTGGGTAAGAGACAAGGCTAATTTTGAAAAATCTTTCACAAACCTCCTATAGTACCCAGCTAAACCCATAAAATTGCGGACTTCTGTTACATTGGTCGGTGTAGGCCAATTCACAATTGCCTCTATTTTCTGTGGGTCCATTGAAATCCCTTCCTTGTTGATCACATGCCCTAAGAAAACAACTTCATCCAACCAAAACTCACATTTCTTTAGTTTAGCAAACAATTTCCTTTCCCTAAGTATTTGCAGGACAGTTCTCAAATGTTGTTCATGTTCAAGTCTATCTTTAGAGTATATCAGAATATCATCAATAAAAACCCAACAAATTCGTCAAGGTAGGTTTTAAAAATTCGGTTCATTAGGTCCATAAATGCTGCTGGAGCATTAGTCACTTCGAATGGCATAACAAGAAACTCAAAATGTCCATACCTCGTTCTGAATGCGGTTTTCTCAACATCTTCCGCCTTTACTTTCAACTGATGGTACCCGGATCTCAAATCAATCTTAGAAAACACCTGTGATCCCTGTAACTGGTCGAATAAATCATCAATACGGGGTAAAGGGTATTTGTTCTTTATCGTTACCTTGTTCGATTCCCGGTAATCGATGCACAGACGCAAAGTCCCATCCTTCTTTTTCACAAACAAAACTGGCGCACCCCAAGGCAAAGTGCTAGGTCGGATAAACCCCTTGTCAAGCAGGTCTTGCAACTATTCTTTCAATTCTTTCATTTCAGCTGTAACCATTCTGTAGGGAGTTTTAGAAATAGGCTGGGCGCCTGATACAGTTTCAATAGTGAATTATATCTCCCTGTCCACCAATTCTCCTGATAATTCATTTGGAAACACATCTGGAAATTCTCTAACAATAGGGATATCATTCAATTTAGCATTTACAGATTGTTTAGACAGCACATAGCACAAATAACCCTGACACCCTTTCCTGATCAGTTTACATGCTTTCATTGCAGATATCAAATAAGGTAGAGGCACTACCTCATTACCCACAAACACAATCTCTTTATGTTCTGGTGGTTTAAAAACAACTCGTTTTGTCACACAATCGATGGTGGCACAATACTTGGTCAACCAATCCATGCCCATAATTATATCAAAATGCCTAAAGTTCAAGGGCAACAAATCTACATATAGGATAGCATCCTCAACACGCATATCACAAAACCGATATATAGATTCACACAATACAGATTTCCCAGATGGAGCAGACACACATAGCAGATATGGCAGTAGTTCTAAAGGTCTATTTAGTCTAGATGCAAATGCATAAGTTACAAATGAGTGCGTTGATCCGGAGTCAATTAACACAAAGGCATCCTGATTACATATAGAAATGGTAGCTGAGACAACTGTGTTGGCATTCCGCGTATCACCTGGAACAAGCGCAAAAACTCTCCCTTGTCTCATGGTATCTCCGGCGGAAGTAGATCTCGTAGCATTTCCTGGTTTTGGGACTGATACTGTTGAACTAGTAGCAAATTTCCCATTGTTTTGCTTGCAATCTCTGTCCATATGCCCCTATTTTCCACAATTAAAACAAGCTCCTGTCATACGGTAAAAAACCCCACGATGCCTATTACCACAAGTGGTACACAACGGGGTTGTATCTCGAGGAGAATTAGAAGTATTCGAGGAGCCCATATTTTGTTTCTTTGAAAACTTCTTCTTTGAAAAGAAGCCCTGCCTTTTACTACCCTTCCAGTCAGTTGTCGGTTTAGTTTGTCTAGCTATATTAGCTTCCGATATTATGGCCCTGTTTAGTACCCCAATGTTGGTTTCCAGTTTCAAGACATTCACCCTCTCTAGAATGTCGCTTCGAAGCCCGCCTTCAAAATGTCTCGCCTTCTTATAGTCTGTATCTATCACGTGTGGCGCAAACCTGGCCAATTCAGTGCATTTGGCCACATACTCGGCTACAGTCATACTGTCTTGCCTCAGTTCCATGAACTTTGCCACCTTCCTATCTCGGACACACTACGGGAAGTACTTGTCATAGAAAATTTCCAAAAATTTCACCCAATCAACATCCCTGTGATTTTCTCGCATTAACATCCACCATCTTCTTGCCTCGTCTTCTAGCATGAAAGTGGCTAGAAGCACCTTCTGGGTCTCCGAGCAGGGGAACACTTCAAACAATTTCTCGATACCGAGAACCCAAGCTTCGGATTTCAACAGATCTAAGCCACCATGGAACTGCGGTGGTTTCATTTTCTTGAACTCTTTGGTGAGACCTATGATTCGGTCATCATTCTAATTGTCTGGCACAAGAGGTGCCGGAGGTGGAGGTGGAGGGTGTGGTTGCTGCCACTATTGTTGCCATTCTTGTTGTTGCCTCAATGTCTCTGCCATTTCCTGAATCAGTCTTTCCATTCTATCCAGTCTGGCAGTAGAAGATTCCTCTATCTCATCACCTCTTGTTCTCACCATCTAATTAAACTTGCATTATAATTTATACAAAAGATACGCAGGTATGCATATACTAAAAAGCATACATAATCAAATAATTTGAAATGCAAGCAGTTCACAAACTTACAACACATAGTTGTTCACATTTAACAGCTAAGCATATTCTTGATGCTCTCAGATTCATACTTATCACATGAATGCATCCTAGGTCTTTTCTAGACGCTTATTGCTATTTTGAACAAGTGTGTGAGTTATTAACTTGTGCTCTGATACCACTCTGTCATGAGCCGAACCCGTCCCCGTGGGTTAAGGGCATAACCGGCCAGTAATCATGAGATTACCTACGGCCTCAAACCAAAACGAATGTATTTTAACAGAGTTAATGGGGGCCAAACGGAAGCAGTTCAAAACTTTATCCATAGAGCTGTGCTTACATGGCACATCCAAACAACCAAACATATATACATTAATAACTCACAACAGAAATACAGTAGCATAAGTTCTGTACAAATAGGATCATACAAGTTTAAGTCAGTCGAACCCAAGACTCATATACAAAGGTAGTCTAATGCTTTCGCCAACATAACAAAACTATGAACAAAGGACAAAAGCGAAGACAGTCTCGTGCGTGAGACGTTTGGGTTGACTCCTCAAAACTCTGACTATTTCTCACAATTTCACCGAGGCTGGTTCTGGATGTCCCTTGGCTCACCTCCATGTACATGAATGAGCGTGAGCGAAAGCTCAGTGAATAATATCAAATAAGGTAGATACATAAGTAATCTTTGTAACAGTTACAGCAGACGGCCTTTGGCCCAATCACTTAGATCAATCGGCCTTCGGCCCAATCATTCATATCAATCGGCCTTCGGCCCAATCATTCATGTCAATCGGCCTTTGGCCTAATCATTCATATCAATCGGCCTTCGGCCCAATCATTCTTATCAATCGGCCTTCGGCCCAATTGTTCATGTCAATCGGTTGTCCATAATTCAAACTAGCAAACTTATAAAGAAATAAGCAATTGGACAATTGACAAACTTCAAAATATCGATATTACTCACAGTGATCGGTTGGTTGATTTGCCCTGGAGCTCGACCCTACACAGTCCATGAACACAAAAAGGGTCACCAACAATTCAATCCGTTCTTAAATTCACATTTTCCTCTTTAGGCTTTATTCTTATCTCTTTAACTCAATTACAATGCTCAATGCATGCCTAAGAGTACTTAGAAGTGAATGAGGACGAAGAACAAAACTTAGAATGCATAAACAAAATTTCAGAAAATAGGGTCCCTGCTCGAGCGTGGACTTCCCCGCTCGAGCGGACCCATGAGGCCTGCCAAAGTTCTGGTTATGGCATTTTTACGCTCGAGCGTGCATTATGGCGCTCGAGCGGAAGTCCATCCTACATAGCTCCCCGCTCGAGCGTGGACTTCCCCTCTCGAGCGGACATCATGCCTGCACAACAATACTGGGAGCACGAAATTCATGCTTGAGCAGACATCAAATTTCTGGAAAATCTAGAATGTGTTCTTGAGCTCCAACTTTGAATTCGAAGGCTCCAAATGCATGATTTTGACTCAAACTTTATATATATGTGTACTAACATGGTATAAACACTAAATTACAACATTTTGGAAGCTTAATTTCATAAATCAAACCCATGCATGGCTCATTCTCCACCAAATTCATTATTAACATAGCAACTTCATGCATTCAAAGCTTCTACTCCCATGGATTGTACATGCATGTGACATATAACCCTCACTCTCATCCCATATGATGAAAAGATGGTCAAATACATGGATTTCAACCAAGATTCAACATGAGTCATGCAATTCAAGCTCAATTATGCAAATTCAAGACAATTATATACATGCATGCATATATAGTCTTCCAATTCAACAAAACCAACTCAATACATGCTCTTGATCACAAACAACCCTTGAACTTACAAGATCACAATTTCAAACTTATGAATTCAGGGTCAAGTGCATACCTAGAGGTTCAATCCTTCCAATCTATAGCAAATTCTTGGGTAATCTTCCAAAATCTCCAAGCCTCAAGACCAAAACCTCAATCTCCTACACTCTCTCTCTAAGCCGACCCTCTCTTCTTTTCTTTGAGTTTGTGATCAGCCAAAATGCAACAAAGGAGGAGAATTGAGGGTGTAGTGCCCTTATACAACAATTTCCGCTAATTCTATTAAAATAATACTAAAGTAATTGGGCACTAATTCCTTAATTAAATCAGTTTAATCTGATCCGAATCAATTTTCAATTAAATTTCACCGTAGGCTCAAAAAATTATGCCAATCACAATGGCGTAATCAATTTCAAGTTTTGTGGCTGCTAAGGTCTTTAATTTAATTTTCAAAGCAGACAATTAAACAGATATTCCTACGGTGAACAGATAGAAATTCAAAACCACATATTTTCACATAATGGCACACGAAATCATATTAAACACATAATCATACTTATATTAAGGACCATTTAACATATTACGGAACAGGGATATCACAGAATGTTACTTAGGGAGAGCACTTCTAATCGCCATTCTAGCTTGAAGCAGGCTTGGCTTGAGCTTGAGCTTGAGCTTGAGCTTGAGGTACACTCATACTTCGGCGCATTCACAAGGCCTGAGGAAATACATCCGGAATGTAATCTCAAAATTTGCTGAAGGTGAAACACACTCAAATGCTCCATATTTTCCCTCTTTTCTTTTGCTTTGCAGCCTGGAACCTATATAACTTCAATTAGGTGCTTGTTCTATTGTTCTTATATGACCTGGGTTTAACCCTACAATTTTTTGAAAGAACAAATGCTGTTTTGTACAAATACGGAGAATGACACAGCACTCTGAGCACAAAACGATTTATTTTCAAAATTGAGAAATGAGTTCTTGACCGGGTATTGAGCCTACGACTCAACAAAGAGAAAACGAAGGTAAAACAACCTAAACACATCGATTGACACTCGAAATACTCAAAACAAGAATCGAGACAAACCAGAAACACACACACAGCACTCAGATGTGTTATAAAGGCGAGAGACCTCTTAGTTCACAGGGAGCCCACAGCTTCTCCAAGTAATGTTTCCCACCCTTTCTCATTTGTGATTCTCACATCACTTTGGCACTCAATCTCTTTTTCTCTGAAAAGCCCTTTTCTCATTTTTTCTCTCAGTGCACATCTCTCTATTCTTCAATCTCTCTTCTTCTTTTTTTTATCCCTCCCCTGGGTGGTTGATGGATAAGCAGGAAGTTGTGGGCTCGTGCCCCTAGTATTCTACTAGATTCTCCTTCTTTCGCTCACAACTCGTGAACTTTCCCACAGAGAGGTTTCGGTGCGACCAGATGTACAACAGACCTGCAACTGACATCGGTTGATGACGCCGTTGGCCAGTATAGATGTGATCAGACATGCCTAAATGAGAGAGTGAAATATCCTACTCCCTTCTAGCTTGTGCTTCGCACTTAGCTTGATACCTCATTGCTTGGAGGATATGAGAGCTTTCAGCCCTTTTGCTGTTAGCTTCAGTTGTGCCCTTTCCGGCAAATATGGTGCCCTTTCTGGTGAGTATGTTCACAATGGGGAAAAGACAGAAAACCTAACTCAACTGTGCCCCTAGTTCATCATTTTGACCATTTTTTTATTTTTGGCTTTTGCTAAAACAATTTTGACCAATATGAGAGCTTGATTAACACGCTTGTTCGATTTTTTGATTTGAAATCATGCAAGTCAGGTTATGAGCACTAAAAATTTTCCTTTTTTGGGTCCAAGAAATGGTCTAGTTTTGGAAAAATGTAGTAATTTTCGAGAAAATTAGTCAACCTCATTAAAAATCATCAAAACTGTTTTTGCATATGGCCACTGCTCGACCAACACAGAATCTAATCTTGAGATGCACAACCTCAGATCTGAACTTGAAATGTCTTGTAGCTGAATCTTCGAACGGAATAGGACAACCGAGTTTGAACGAAGATGAGCCAATTCGCACATGGATAAGATAGCTGAATTGAACAAGGATAAACCAATCAACATGGATGAGACCAACAGGTTGAAAAATAGTTGGGGCTAAACTTCAAAATGAAGTTGCCTA